AAAACACTCTGTAAAAATATGGGATCAATGATACAATAAATGTGGCCGAAGATTCAGTTTAAGAACTCTCCCAGAAGCAGGAGGAAGAGGAAAGGCAAAAGTGTGGAAGACAGTATAGTTTCATTGCAATCACTCAAACTCCCCTCTCTTAGGGGCCCCCAGGCAAAGTAGAGGATAGTACAGACGTTCACGGTCCCATCCGTGCTGGACATGTAATTCACCCATGGTGCCTGCTATGCTCAGGCAGCTCATCTGGCTGAGTTATAGAAGATGTATCAGGAGTAGCAGGAGGTAACAGACAAGTTCTCTGTGTCATGTTTACAAAGTCATCACTTCTATCAGTATAAAATATCATCTGAATAATGGGAATGCAGATTTTGATCCTGACTCCATTTAGAAGAACTATAGCACATTAATAATTAGCTGTTGTGAGAGCTGAAAAGGAAAATATCCAGTGTTGGATTCCTCATCTAGTCAATCTTGATTCACACTGGACCACTCAGAATCACAAAAACCTGAAAACTCTCTTCCCTTCTAAAACATTGATCAAGAAGAACCACAGGACTAGGCTTACTGATGGAACAATTTCTGATGGAAAACACCCATTCTTGAGAAGGCAGTACAAGGGGAAATTGCCCCATCAAGAAAAATGAGCAGTGTTCTGTGGGCCCTGGGGAAGGCAGGCACCTGCCACATGACTTGTGTGGGGGCCATGAGGCTGCATTGTTCCTGCCTCACAGGAAAGGGTCAGGCAAGCATTTTCCATAATTGGATAAATCCTTCAATTCATCTTCAGTCAATTCACCCTGATAAGAAATGTCAGGGCTGGTTCCATTAAGAGGACACAGGTGTGTCACAACTGCCTGGTAACCTAAGATGACCAGGGCAGAGGGGGAAATGCTATCTTTCCAGAGATACGATCTACCGGGGGCTCAGCCTTGCACACAGTGTGGACATTGCCGACCCCTGAGCCTCAGCCCTTCACCACCCTGCAGAGAGCCCATGGCACAGAGTAAGACTGAGATCTGGACTCACACATGTGGTAGAGGGAGGTCACCTGAGTGACCCAGGCTCACAGTAAATCCTGCCCTGGTCATCAGCATCCCTGGGGGTAAAATGGAGTGCTCTCTCCCCCAGAACAGACAGGTAGTAAGAAACCCCACCTGGCCCATCTGAACCATCTAAATACTCTGGCTTGGAGATGACTCTCGTATAGGCACCAAAGACTAGGAGTTTCTGGAAGACATGGGTCAATGAAGGACCTAGGCTTTGACCCCCATCATCCCAGCCCCTGCTGGGCAAACACCACACAGCTGAGGGAGAAGCCAGAGCCCAGCGCACTTGGCCAAAGCTTCCTCTAGAAGCAGCACAGGGTCTGGTCCATCCAGGCCTAGGCCTGCCAGGGACTGCCAGCAGGAGAAGGAGTTCAACACATCCCCTTTTTCCTTCTCATGCAATCTTAGGAGTTTTAAGTGGGGGAGTGGGGGAAGGCAACGTGACCAGACTAGGTTCACAAGAATTAATGGGAGCTGAGGAAGGTAGACTGTCAGGAGAGAAGAAATTCTTCTCATTAAAAAAGCATCAATTGTTCCAATTCGAATGAGATGTAGACATTTCTTAGAATCTCAAAACTGAAAATACTTAAGAAAACTAAATATTAACGAAATAAAGATTTTAGATCACATTCCCCCCTAAACGGTAGAGGTATATAGCAATGAAATGCAAGAGTTGACGTATGATAGTATTTACATGAATGTGAAAACCTAAACCTGCTGATCTCCATCACATGCCAACAAGGAAATCAGTTCTCGAATTTTTACAATATGCATCTTAGAATGATTCATGACTTGTAAGGGAGATCTGCAATGAGGTAGATTTAGTTGCACATCCTTAGTATACTCTCATCTGTTTGTGGAAGAGAATGAGCCACCCTTGAATACAATGAAATTTTGTTAATTTGGGTCATCCTAAGATATTAAATACAGGCAGACACTGCGGGAGGCTGAGACGGGAACAAGGCTAAATGGGATCTAAGGAGGTATAAAAAAGATTTCCCAGAAGAGGGAAAAGTCTCCATCGCAGGAAGATAGAACAGGGAGCATCTTGCTGTAAGCAGCCCTGAACTAGTCCCTCTTCTGCTAAAAGGGAAATCCAGGAGGTTGGCATCCACTGAAAGGATTGGGCTGCCCAGTGCCACACCCTGACCCTCTCTGTCCCCTTGTTTTCATACAGAGTCACAGCTCAGAAGCGCAGGGGAACAGATGGCTCGGGGAAGGGCGTGACCGCAAAGAACACAGCAGGTAGTGGGTAAACGGCCAGACTCTTGACCCCAGGAGGCGCATTCCACATGGCACCTCACGGGTCCCAAGTGGGGTTGAGTACCAGTCGCCTGTATAGGTGACCAACCTAACAACAACCCCTTCAGAGCCTACTCCCTTCAACTGGTCTCAGGTTTCCCCTTCCTCTGGGATTCTTGGGGATCACTTCCAAATAAACTACCATAAAGTTGATAACAGCACGCCCCAACGTTGTTAACATCCTAATCCTGGGAACCCGGAAACACGTTATGTTACACGGCAAGGGGGAGTTAATCAGAAGAGGAAGTTAAGTCTGCTAATCAGCCGACCTTAAACCAGGGAAACTATCCTGGATTATGCAACATGGGCCCAATGCATTCACAAGAGTCAGATTTCAATATTCACTGCCAACTCTGAAGTTGAAAGAGGGTCAAGAGTCTGAAGATGAAAGAAGAGGCCACAAGCCAGCAACTTCTGGGGGCCTCTAGAAGGTGGATAAGGCAGGGAAATAAACTGTCCCCTGCCACCACCAAAAAAGATGCAAACCTGCCAACACCTTGATTTTACCCAAGAGAGGCCCATGTCAAACTCTTGATCTCCAGAATTCTAAGATAAAATTTGTCTTCACTTAGGCCCCTAACCCGGTGGTCATTTAGTTACACAAGCAATAGGAAGTTAATACAGTGCCTGCCCAAAATTGGTATTTCAGGTTCTACGTTCAAAGGAATCCATACTAGCTCACTAAAGTTTATTTCAAATATTTAAAAGCCTCATAGCAACATATCTTCCTAGCATCCCAACCTACAAATGAAGGTATGAAGAGTGTTCAATTTGAGTCTTTCAAGGCATTTATACCTATGCATTTGAAATTTAAATTATTAAAACTTATATACAATAAATATTGAATATTCAGTGCTTCTATGAAAGGAACTAAATACACAATTGAAACCCTCCCCAAAAGTATTATGTGGGCCCAGATAACTTCCTTGTAGGATTCTACTACCAGTTCATCTAGAAACACACCACTCATGTAACAAATTATTCACAAGAATAGAAAAAGACAAATTTCTCTAAAGGGCTCTCTTCCCTAAAACTAAGTGGATTGTCTAATACTTCTGGTCTATTTCTCTACTTCCCTGCCAAAGAGAATGAGATGCTATGAGAGGCTTTGCCTTTCAGAGTGAACCGCAAGGTACCAGCTTCACAGGAGCAATGAGTCATCAGAGCTTCCAGAAGAGGTGATAAGTTTCTTACTGTGCCCTGACAAACAGCCCTGAGTCTTCACTGTCCTCTCCTAGGGCAGCCGTGGTTCAGGCTCCCTGACTACCTCCCCAAAGACACCTTGAAATCACAACCAAAAAGTGGAAGCCCCGGGGCTTCCCTGGTGGCGCAGTGGTTGAGAGTCCACCTGCCCATGCAGGGGACGTGGGTTCATGCCCTGGTCCGGGAAGATCCCACATGCCACGGAGCGGCTGGGCCCGTGAGCCATGGCCGCTGAGCCTGCGCGTCCGGAGCCTGTGCTCCACAACGGGAGAGGCCACAACAGTGAGAGGCCCGCGTACTGCGAGAAAACAACAACAAAAAACAACAAAAAGTGGAAGCCCCGGAAAGCAAGACCGGCAGCTGTTTGCCCATCATGGAAGGTACCACCAGCTAACACTTAGAATCCTGGGCTGTCAGGCTGTGGGGCAAACACTGGGGTGATAGGATCGACTCCGAAACCTGCTCCTTGGAACACTGAAGCCTTCCTGCCCAGAGAAGGTGCTAGTGTTAACCAAGACCAGTACTGTCCCAGACTTTTTGGGACACATTTCAGTTGGTACCAAAGGCGTCAAAGAAAGGCAGAAGTTTCCACTCTGTGCTTCCTGTATTCAGACCTTCACTTCCTCTGGGTGAATTCCCCAAATGCAGCACCCCCTAGTGACCACTCTCAGAAAATGCCAGAGCTGATTTAAGTCTGTCACCTCCAAGAATGACCTCTGCTCCTCACAAGGTGAGCTGTGCCTAGGAGAGTCCATGATCTGCTCCGCAATCCAGGGGTCACATAAGGATGGGGGTCATGGACCACCCTGCTAAAACTGACAAGACAGCTGTTCCTTGTCCAAACATAGAAGAGTTTGGCTCCAGGAACGTCCACATGCAGTTGCTTCCCCAGACCAGAGAGAATAAAGGTCAGAGGTGGGTTGGGGGCAGGATGACAGTGCAGGCAGCCTGTGACAAGTGGACTTCACATTTCAGTCTCTGGAACTAGGCTGCCGAGTAGTTTGCAAGGTCCAGGTTAAGCAATGATCCTGCACAAGTGTAGCACCTTGATGAAAATACTAAAGTGAAACTTGAAGTGCCTCTCACTGCAGAGCTGCTCACTGGGCTGGGCAGTGACTTTCAGGATTCCAAAGGATGCTCCCGTCACGTGGCTCCAAGCATCCACCCACCCTTCGGGAGGTCCTAGCATGTGTTGCCGTGGCTTAGTGAATGAGGGCATTCTTCAGATCCACAGGACTGTCATGACTTATATGTAGCATGGTATTGGAGCTGTAATATCTCAACTCTTCTGAAGGGAGATGCTTGCTTTTAAGCATTTTAAGAGACTGCTGACCACTGGGGCCTCCAAAGGACTGTCTGGAAATGATTAATGTCCAAGCTAGAAAAACTCTCAGAGGAGAATGTTCTTAGATGATGATGGGACAGATTTACGCCTCTCACCTGGAGTTGCTGCCTCTTTCACCAGATAAAGCAGGACTCAGGAATCTTCTTTGACAGCATCTGCTTACCATGCAATTCTTCCCTGGGTAGCAGCTTATGCTCTGGAGCTGGGTTCTCTGAGGGCTACTGTTGAGAGAGCTGGGGTGCTCTTGGTGGTGCTGACCACCTGCTGCTGACCCGTCATTTCCCTGCATAGAGCCCACACCGCAGGACCATCTGCAAATAGAACCCCGAATATACAACTCAGCATCCTCCATGCAAGTCAGGCGGAAACTCAATATTTCTCTTCACTATATGCAAGAGAATGGCATTTGACTGGACTTAAGATGAAGTGCACAGTGAAAGATGCTCAAGGCCCCATACTTTGGCAAAGCCTAGTTCTGTATAAACTTCTTATACATTAGATGAGATTGGCAATTCTTGTGGCCATAAAAGCAGCATTTGAGCCCCATCAGGAAAGATATCAAGACTGGACACTGAGTCGGGAATATCAGGTCAGATTTAGCGCTCAGCCCAGGAATCAGAGCCCCATGTGCCATACCCATAAGAAGGTCATCCTCAGTGCACCAAGGTATGCAATTCCGAGAGCCACACACAGGGGTTGCACTCGTGCTCTGGGTCAGGAGAGTCCAGAGGACCAAGCTCAATGAGCTCAACTACGTTGTACAGATAAGGGCTGGGAGGCAATTACCCCAGAGGACCCATCCGTCAGACCCGAAAGTCTCACACATTTCTGAGCATCAAGAGAGGAAAGACTTGAGTCTGGATTTGAGGGAAACAGCATTTTAATAATCCCTTGGGTTGTCGCTGTCCTGAACGATTATATAAGGAAAGCAGAAACAAGTTAATATGACAGTGCTTTCATTTTGAACCCTCAAATGTCCCTGCAAAGATTTAAGATAAATGCTCAGGAGCTTCTAACGTTTGAGTTGTAGGGTCCCCTCCATGGCACTGGGCAGGGGGCCTGCTATGCATTGGGCAGCTCATCCGATCCTCTGGGTTAGAGAGAACTTTGTGAGAGTTGCAGGTGGTCAGTTGCTTGGAAAGTAATTTATATTATCAGCATAAAGTATCATCCTGATTAGTTTGCAGATTTTGATCCAAATTCACTTGTAAATCACGGTTGCTTTATCCTCACTGGACCTAGGAATACACGTCAGGTTCTTGGCTACTGTGAGAACAAAAAAAGGGAAAGAAATGAAATATCTTTCATTTCTGTGTTTCTGATCTAGTCACTCCTGAAGCATACCGGATGTCTCCAGGATCAGAAAACCGTTTTAAAAAAATCTCTTCTGAAATAATGCAAGCTGTTACTACTCGAGAGAGGCACAATTGATTTTCAGATGGAGGCACCTTAATAAGGGACCCATCTGCTCATCCAGAAAACAGCACAAGACAAAAATGCCTGCTCATGAAGTTGCGTGGGCACCTAGCGCCATCACATGGCACATAACTTCTGGTGGCCAACAGGCTACAGAATCTGTTTCTGCGCAAGAACATTAAGCAATGAGCATTCCTAGCTTGACATTCACTCAGTAGTCCCTCAACCCACTCACTGCATTTAGGAATGTCAGAGATGGGGTTCCATAGGGGGCACATACCTGTGTCAAGTCCTCCAGGCGATTGGGTTGCAGCTTCACCTGAGATTAGCTGAGGGGCTGGAGAACAGCCTGATCCATTGGGAGAAAACTCAGACTCAAATCAATGGGCTCCTGACTTCAGCCCTTCACCACAAAGGGAAGAAAACCAAACACCCTAAGTCTGAGAGCCAGAGGTGTGGGAGTTAACACTGATCACCCAACTACACACCCAGGTTAGCTTCTGCCAAGGATTGCAAGCAAGAGAAGGGGCTTAAGAACATGTTTTTCTCTTCCCTGAATCAGCCATGAGTGTTTTCAGAGGCTAATCACAAACTTGAAAGACTGGAAGGAGATATTCATAGGGTACTTTGGAAAGCTCCAGCATATTTCTGGGACTTCAGTAGGCCACACACAGGTACATGGCTGTGCACATACCCAGGAAAGACCTAAGAAAGCCCTAATCTCTTACTTCTTACCAACATTGAGACTCTCCCAGTGGAGAGTAAAGGTTAAGGTAGAGTTACAACTGCCAGATAATTAAAGGTGTGTCTCACATACACAGCACTTCATCCACAACTGGAAGACTTATTGGTCCAAAACGTTTAAGGAAATAGCTGTTTTAATTGTTAGGTGATTAAGGTAACTGCGCAGAGAGTTCAGTGGCTTACCAATTAAGTCACTGAATTATGACCTTGCAGAATTACTCAGAAAAGTCACTAAACAATCAGCAACAACAAAACCTGGATTAGAGGAATCTAATCTTCAGAGTTGCCAGTAATGTCCATAGTTGCCCATTTTAAATATCCAATTTAACAACAAATTGAGGCATGCCAAAAAACAAAACAAACAGGCCCATACACCGGGGAAAAATTCCAATCAGTAGACACTGTCCCTGAGGAAACCTAGATGTTCTACTTACTGTAAAAGAAAATTCCGCTATTTTAAATACATTCAAAAGGTAAAGGAAATCATGTGTAAAACTGAAGTATGAGAACAATGTCTCATCAAGTAGAAAATATGAATAGAAGTTTTTAAAGAATCATATGGAAATTCTGGAGTTGAAAGATGCAAAAACAAGTTCACTTGAAAAGCTCAATTGCAGATGCATTCTTCCACCAGCCCATATCTACTAACTTGGAGATGAGTTGATTGAGATTAGTCTGAACAGAAAGAAGTGAACAGAGCCTCAGACATCCGTGAATATCAGCATTAAGCATACCAACATGTACATAATGGCAGTCCAAGAAGGAGAGGATAGAGAGAAAAGAGCAGAAAAAATATTGGAAGAAATGGCTGTAAACCTCCCAAACTGATCAAACCTTGACACATCCAGGAAGCTCAATGAACTCCAAAGCGCGATAAACTCACAACTAGACACATCACAGTCCAACTGCTGAAAGAGCATTGAAAGCATCAAGAGAAAAGCAGCTCATCACATACAAAGGAGCCTCAATAAGATTAATGGCTGATTTCTCAGACACCATGGAGACCAGAAGGCATTAGAAGCTCATTGAAAATGTTGAAGGAAAGTGACTTTCATGAATTCCTTACCCAATGACCCTATCCTTCAAACATAAATTAATACACTTCCAGATGAACAAAAGCTGAGGTGACAATCCCCTCTCTTGTCCCACTTTCCCATCCTTGACTAGACCAGTTGTGTTACAAAACAGGGTAATTCTAGAGCCCACGTTTTCCCAATAATGGCTTCTTTTCAGACTCACAGCATGGGATAACTCGGCTCTCAAATTGATGATCCCCTCAGTCAATCTCTAGTTTATTCTTTCACAGAAAGGAATGCCAGAGAAACTGAGAGGAATGAACATGAACTCAAGTAGGCTGGACTGTCTCTGCTGACCATTCCTGCACGAGAGGAGGCACAGTTATTCTCCTCTCAAGAGAGGTGCTAGTTGTGGCAGACGACGTGCTGTGGAAAACTGTTTCATTTGCACGCCCCTCCCTTATGATCCTTTCAAGTAAGAGGGAGCCACTTAAGCACTTTGGCACTTGCTCTAAGTAGTCAGACATCTGAGTCAATACACAAGAAGAGATTGGATTTTAGTTGACTCTATTTAGAATGCCTGCACTTGGTCCTGATGCAATCGAAGTGAAAAAAACAAAGGGATGTGTTTCTGACCAGGCAAATTGCAAAAACAGGATTACAGTGAGCAAGACTGAGGGTCATTTGTAGAAAAGATTTATAATTGAAAAGTTCTTTTGGATGTGGCTCGTCTCTTGTATGGGACCATCAAGTTCCTCCTTTGCTCAAAGTCTGACTGCTTCGTGTAGTTGCAGAGCAGGCTGAAGAGATAACAGGGCAAACCCAACAAAGCACCTCCCTGTTTGGAAATCCTCAGTGGAATTGGTCATTAAACATACTTGGGTCTCAGAGGAGCGCACACGCACAGAGCTGCTCCCACCGACCCCCAGACCTGTGAGGACGAGAACAAACAGCTCCCGTTGTAGACCCCCGAGGTTTGGGTGCTGGCTGACAAGATTCTGTCACAGACAGCTTTTGAGTCATTCAGCACTGCCTCATGGAGTTGTGGTTCATCCTCAAGTACTAGTTTCTCCCTGGAAGGATGGGTTTAAAGGAAGTCAGGTGGGCACCCAGTACAAACAACACCTGGACAAGATAGCCTGGCACAAAAGCCCTCTGGACTTTACTGCCAAACTTCATATTCTCTAGAAACCAGATGGGAGCCCACAGCATTCTTTCACCTATGTATCCAGGATGGAATTGGCAGCTAAACAGACAAGTTTTATACAGAAATAGATTCTTCTGAAAAACATGACCATTTTAGCTCTTCATTTTATACATCCACTTAAAGTATTGATTCTGGGAATAAACGAGGATTATTGGTCATATAACACTGACTATCAAGCTTTGTTTTTCATGTAAATAGTTCTCTGTTGTTTTAGTTACTTAGAGGACTGGTGGATTTCCCAAGATGACATCCAGGCTGGTAAGGTTTTTCCTCAATAAAGTAGGAGCCTTTCACTTGAAAATGCTACTCTGAGGATCTACTATTGGGTAAGTGATAGGTTCCACTAGGCATTTTCGCTGGTTTTCTTTCTATGAGAGAAAGAAAGAAAGAAACTTGCTGAAAAATGCATCACTTTGTAGAAACAAAGGATTACACTTGAATACAAGTGAGCTGTCTAACTTGACCCTCCTCAGGGACTCTACAGCCAGGGTTGAAGTCATGAGCACGGTCCTGGAATACAAAGGCAGATGAGATAACTCTTCCCTCCCCATCAACATACACAACCTGGAGCAGTGGTAGGCTGAGAAGTGTCTGTAGATGTACCCTCAAGTTTTGAGATTCTACCAGAAGATTATGACCAGCTGCAACTTCCCATGAGAGGCAGGAGGAGATAGCAAAACTCTCAGCATAAGGTAATAAAATCTCCATAGTAAATAGTGCAGTGCAGCTGATTCTGTTAATTTTGTTAATACCACACAACATTTGGTTGTGAACTTAGTTTTTACTTTTGGGCAAGACAAGAGAGTAAGACACATTCCAGAGTAGAACAAAGAACACCCTGGAACACAGTAACTAGGCCACCCTCCAGTGTCAGCCAAATGATTGAGAAAGGTGGAGTTGACCATATCTGACTTCAAGAGAAAACCCT